GATTGGTTGAAATAGCACAACTGATAGTTTCTGAGACAGAGAGGTATTTCGGTGAGGCGCAGGAAGCAAGATAAGACGAACATTCTAAACAATGTCCGCTTTATATTGTGTTACGCGTGGGCGTGGAGAGTAAGAGTGTGCTTGCTCTCAAGCATCCGCTCATACTACACGGTCTTTGAGAAGCAGGGACTGGGGTCAGTCGGAGGGAATGTCAGGAGGACATAAAAGTGCAGTGTTACATTGCTACGTTTAATAGAAAGACAGATTCACGGAACTTCATCGGGAAATTCGTACTTGATGTGTTTCGTCGTACAAGTACTATTCAAGTGAAACAAAATGTGTTAAAAAATAGTACTGAAGGGTAAAATATGTGAAAATACGTACCCTATATATACATAAATTGAAACGAATATTACATCATCTGCCGGAATTCGCTGCGCGGATTGCGTCATCTGCCGGCGTCCCCCGTACTGAAGAGTTCCGGGTTATTCGCGAGTCGCTTAGAAATATGACGCAAGTTCCGGATAGGTCGAGGCAGGCACCAGGCAGGTATAAATTCGCCGCTGCCGGCGACCGCTGCCAGCATGCAGACCGAAGTCTCAAGTGGACGCATAGCTGTGAAGTGTGCATTACGGTGCACAGTGGTACAGTAGGAGAACGGCGGCGCAGAGAACTGTGCACAGTGTATAGAACATTGGTAGGTGCATCGGACTGTGCGATAGTGTAGAAGAAGTGAACAATGTAAATAAATAATCACACGAAGGGAACAATGGGAAGAAACAATCAAGAGAAGTGAAGTCGTGTGTATGCAAATAATAGAGTGAAGAACACAAGGACTATGCAACCTATCTGTAAATAAATCAAGTATTTTAGTGTATCGTTAAGAAACAAAATAAACGTCTTTGTTAAAATAATACCTGTTTTAATTCACCACTATATATATTCTGTATATATTCTAACACGCCTACCACCCAACGTACCACCTTCAACAGTATAAAATTCTTAGGAAGCAGGATCCGCAGGATCTTTCGGGTACGAGAAAGGTCTGAACCCTCGACACAATAAATTGCAAAGATTGTGAACAAACGAGCGTACAATTTAACCATAAAATTCGGCGGCACAATTACACAACAAAGAAATGAACAAACTTTTACACAGAATAAATAAAACAAAAATAGAAAGCTGGTTGTTCACTGAAATGAAAGACAAGAACGCCAACGCCAACGCCAACGCCAACGCCAACGCCAACGCCAACGCCAACGCCAACGCCAACGCCAAAGTTTTCGAAGTGATAGGAATCAAATTTAATTTCTTTAAGCCAATGCTCTGTCATACATATGACATCTAAGTCAAGTGATTCATCATCAAGCATAATATCAAGATCTAGTTTCTTATTTCTTAGACATTGCACGTTTTGGTGTAATATTTTTAATTTGCCTAGTTTATTTACAAAATTACCTGAGCTTAACTCATCCCTAAAAAATCCACAAACATTTCAGGCTGGTTCCTCATTCTGCTAGAAGGGCGTATTGTCATTTACTGAATATCATTTTGGGGTTGCAATCACTGCAGATGAGTTCCCTTTCCACTCCAACTGGATCACATTCTTTTGTTGATTTGAAAAATTTTTGGTTATTAGTTCTGACACTATTTCACTTAATTTTGCCTTCCCTTGATTGTTCATGTGCATTCCATGTCTAGTGAAATCACTCCTATGTAAATAAAAATGTATCTCACGAGAGTGTTTATGGATCCTGAGTTATTTCTCCAACTTCCTATTAAACCTTTTAACTTCTTTATTCACTCATGACCACTCCACCAAATCATGCCTGAGGCTTCTATGATTAAAAAGTTTGTTTGCTCATTATTTTTCACAAAGTTTACTAAATCATTAACACCTTCATCTGTACAGTTTCTTCCTATATCGTTATAACCAGCAAATACCACAACTGTATTAGTCTTTCCCATGTGTTTGATGCTTGTGTCCACTACGTTTTTCGCCCTTCCATCAGGTTTTACAAATCCACTAACTTCAAAATTTGCACACATACTTTTTATATTTTGGGCATGGCTATCGCCTAGCACAGTCGTTTTACTCTGGTTGGTTTTCTGTAACCATTTCTGATCTTTCTTCCTTTGTAATTATTAAGTGCAAATGGTAATACAGCGGAAGAGTGAGATGTTTCCTTTGTTGGTGTTTTTAGTGCAAATCAAAGTCAAAATAAAGTTACTAAATCTATAAAAGTACGAGAAGCAAAACCATTATCTGCAATATTTATATCCAAACCTCCCAAGATTTTTATTGTTGGTGTCTGTAAAGTGTACTTAAATTAAATAAATATGTAGGCAGCTTTTCAAAATTAATAAAGAAGCTCATAAAGTTTTGATTTGGAGGGTGCTATACTCCAAACACAATAATTATTTTTGGTCCACAACTGCTCACTGCAACTACCTCAAAATCTTTTTCCATGCAGAACTGCTTTGTATTTTCAACTTTAAAATGCCCTGATGAATTTCTTAAATATACTGCTACACCTCCACCCTTGTTAATTTTTCTATAGTACAAAATTACGAACTAACAGACTATTTCTGTTAGTTTGTAATTTTTGAGAGAGTAATTTTGAATTTTATTTTCTTTTAGATCATTTTCTGTTACAATATACATTTGGGGCTAAGTGTCACTTGAAACGTTGAGCCCAGAGATTTTGGCTTAATATTAATTTTTCTAATTTCCTTGTTCACGCAGGAGTCATACAAGGGATAGTGTTTATAAGAATTTATTGCCACTATAATATTTTGATCTTTGTTTGGATTTAAAAATTGTTTAAAACTCGACAAACATTTTTCGGCTTCATTACAGTAAACGTCATTTACTCCTGCAATACACACAAAATAGTCTTGCAAAGTTCCATTAAATGGACCTACCCAATAATGTATCTTCACGCACTTGGTTTTATAATCCTCTAAATTTAAAGTTTTCATTTGCCCCCGTAATATTAGATGACAAGGATCGTCCATGGCAAACTCTTTACACTGTCAATTTTGGCACACTTTCTTGTGATCGTGTTAGACCACGACAATCTTCGGTGCACTCCTCTTGGTGGCGATGGCGATGGTTCGCTGGATTCACTTATCCCGTCTTCATCACACAAAGTTGCAAATTTGTTCGGATGTTTTAGAGAGTAGATATCGGTATGCTGCAGTTCAGTATTTTCTTACTTGACCCCTGGCTTCCTCTTTCACCCTGTTCCAATTGTGTTGACCATTTTGCATTGCACGTAAATGTGCGACGATTTCATGATGTAGGCACGATCGCAATAGCGAGTTTTCTTTTAATTTCCTGAGGCCGCTTTTCAATGTTGAAATTACATGTTAAAGGCTTACTACCAATTTCATTAATTTACGTAACTCCATTTCGCGCATTTTTGTGCTACACTGAGAAAGATGTGGCCAACGCCATCTTCGTCAACATTATGATAAAGCGGTTCTCAAAATTCCCCAAGATAATAAATGCCGCATTTGCCAGGAATAAGTAGAAACCATTGACCATAAAGTCTCAGCTTATCCAAGTCTCGGCAAGGCTGAACACCCTAAAGACACGACTGGATGTGTAGTTACCTCCACTGGCAGATCTGTATCCGTCCTGTATATTACCCCCGATCTGGAGAGGGAAAAAATGCCTTTAGTAGATATAGCTGTGCCGAGTGATCAAAATCTTAGAGGCAGAGAAACATCTTAAATGCAAGAGTTTGGAAATCTAGATCGCCGAATGTAGGACGTAAAAAAACAACCACATCCAGTCGTGTCTAAGGTGTTCAGCTCTTGCCTAGACTTGGACAAGCTGAGACGTTATGGTCAATGGTTTCTACTTCTGGCAAATGCGGCATTTATTACCTTTGGGAACTTTGAGAACCGCTATATCATAAGCATGTGCATGTGAGTGAAATTAAAGAATTAATTTTTGATTTTACACTAAAAATCTTATTTAAAAATTAAGAAAGAAGAATCAAGGCAGGCAGGAAAATGGAAGGAAATAAGCAAAATTTATTTTAACATTCAAAACAATATATTTCAGCTGTAGCACCTAACTAAAACATGTTTAGTACAGTGACCCACTGGCCATTTCGTAAATTAAAGTGTCTCTTACAGCATGTTTTCTATAATTCAGTTGGTTCATACCTAACAATTATACACTTTACTTCTCACAAAATTTTCATAAAAATATGAATTTTCACATTAATTTGCATAAAAATATGTTTCTCCCTTGATTTAAAACAAAATTATTTTTATAACAGTCAATAAAATACTTCACACACGAAGTATGATACAAAAGTTTTCACATAAAAATATAAATGTGGTGTAGAAATACAGCTGTAAATTTTTACAACAATAAAATCCAGACCTTGAAACTACATTTGACATCAGGTCACTCAACTTTTGTAACTGACTAGGAACTATGTTTTTACAGTTTAATGATAAAAATTTTCAAAATAACATTGCATGAAAAGTATTTCTTGTACTTATATATATTGTAAGGAACCACAAAAAGTTACAAAGAAAATGAGCTGTGAATGCAACCATCAATATCCAATATACCACACAAAAAATAATAGAAACGTTCCTTCCCTTTCATAATAGCTAAATCTGAAATAACTTTCTTTTTATGTGATCGAAGTTTTTTTCATTTTACAAAACATTCTCAAAATTTCTAAAGTAAAAGAAGTACAATGTGTTTTGACTATCCAGATACAGGTAACAATTGATTTCATGATGTCTGAACATCATGTTAAATGAAAAATAATATGAAAAACAACAATCATGATGTAAATGTCAAATAGAATTGGCATTCACAAAATAGAAAGCTTTGCATCATTATTTCACCAAACAAACACCACAAAAATCTAATACTATGTATTAAGGAAGCACATCACTGTCTACATCCAATATATATTCAAGTATATTTGAAAAGGTTTACAAAAACCCAATCTTATCACATACCTAGTATTAGTTTTCGAGTGTGTCAAAAAACCTACTGCTTCAAATTAATGACACAAGCTATTTCATTGGTCCCATTTATGACTTGCCAAGCTTATCAAAAGCAATGTAATGCTATATAAAATACAATTATTCTTTACAGTCATCAGATATCTCTGCAGTCCAATTAGCTTCTGTCAACTGTCCATATACTATCTCCAAAACACAAGTATAATAAAACCTAGAAAAATTGTACAAAACTTCAATAAATCATTCAGGTTAAAATGGTTCTGTGCCAGTTTAGTCTAAGTTTGAAAAAATTTGTTAATTTGCATCAAAACATACAACATGTATCTTGCCAATGATGTCTTATGCATAAGAGAAACTTATCAAACATCAAGAAAAGGTCAAGGAGGTACTAAAAGATGTATCATTTAAAGATCTCCACAGGTGATTAAAAATATACACATCAAGGGTTTCTTGAATTCTTAGAAATAGTTTAAATTTAAGTACATATAAATTTCAGAAACTATGTTCGAATAATATTTCTGTATATTTGACAGATAGCGGTTGATTGGGGAGGAGATCTGTTATCCAATCAGAGGCTTCAAATTTTGCTGACGACACAGCATAGTTGCTGATACTTGGGAAAAAATGAAATCTTATAGTGCAAAGCAACTGCAAATTTTAGGGCACTATTACTTCTTTGGTTGTGCATTGTGTGTGTGGTTTTGAGTCATCTACTGTTTTGTACTCTTATTGCGATTTGTTTCTTGCTACTGTTGTGATCTGATGCAAGAATGTCCATATGACTACGTGTCTGCCGCCTGAGAAAGTGGCAACATCGCTCTATCCCACCCCAGCTGTCAAGTAGACAGAAATATTATTCGGAAAATATTAATAATTTGTAATGGAATTACTTAGTTTAATAGTAGTAATGTATCAAGGTTGAAATGCAAAGGTTTTGGTACAAGTCTAAAAACATTCACATTACAACCAAGATGCATAAGTTTGTTTTTTAATTACTAACCTCTTGAATGTGCCTTTTCTGTACAGTAAAATTATAAGTAAAAATACTTTCTTTCTTCTGACATACATACTACTCTTTTGTACCTCAAATGTAAAAGCTGGAAGTCTTATAACCATTGTTATCATGTTCATGGGCACCAAGGATCATTAGATATACTGAATAGCATTCTGCGTATCACAGCACATTTTTGCTGAACTAATCCAGTAAAGAGGTTTTCTTAGGCCTAGTGCAAGAAATTTCAATTTCAGAAACCATTAACAGTACAGAAATGGCTACTTTAAGAGGAGAGTCTGCAATAATTATGAAAATTCAATGAACTCAATGGAAAATGAAACTTTGAATATGAATTGTATCTTGACTTGTGTAATTGTTCTTCCTTTTGCTCCAAATGCAGCAACAGAGCCAGTCAAGAACTATGTCCAATTATGCAAAAATTAGGTGGCCTGAACAAAGTATAACTACACAGAAAAAGTTCCTAAGCTGAAAAAGCACAGTTTCACTGAATTAGCAGAATGATGGCATAATAAATCCCATGGCCAACAATTTCCCAAAAAATGTGTGTGAAATTTCTGCCAACTACCTCTGAGAGAAGCAGAAACATGGAAACAAACTTCCCTGTGATAAATAACATATTCAGTTGGTGAGATCAGTTTGAAATTAAGAAGATATAACTTCAAAACTGGAAAGAAAAATCTAGAGTGTATTAACCAAACACTAAAGATTGTGAATTAAAATTTCCCTTGACATATTAAAATTCATAATAGATTTACCTGCAGAAATCCATAAAAATAAAAAAATGAAAGAATGAGTGAAAAAAGGGGACTCACATGGAGGGATTATGGTTTGTTGTTGCTAACATATCACATTGAGAAAACTTTAACAATAAAATCACTTCAAAAAATAAAAACAGAATCGGTTTTCATCAACTGTTTGGAATCCCCCAAGGTCCTCATTCCACTGATTCAAAGAACAACTATAAAGATCACCAAAGTCATTACTGAAACAACAAAAATGTATGCTTTCCTAATGAAATGAATTCTTCAGTAGTGTACTAATTATACATCCTGTTCTTTTGCACAAATAATTGGGATGAGAGTACTCAACACTTTTTTCCTTAACTATATACTACTAAATCAAACATTACATTCTATTTTAGTAGTCAGAAGCATAAATATCTGACGGATAGCCAAGAATGTATTGACTTGCACACTTGTCACTGACATGACACGTAGGTTATATGACATTTTGAGTGAAACTGAATTAACAGAAGATCTATAATCTATACAGGGATAATAAGTTTTCTTTATATTTATAATGAAATTGTTTTCTAATGAGCTACATTTGTAATTCAAATGAAAATATTAGCACAAACTTTTTTTTCCATTCTTCTTGAAAACTTGCTTTTATTACATGTACCCGTATATAGAAATGTATACCAGAATTCTATTGTAGAAACCATTCAACCAAATGCACCTTCAGAATATTTCTCAACAATACATGCTATATATTATTCTTCACTTGCAAATTACAGTAGTAAATACAACTGGCACATTCTGTTCCTACATACTGAAACTTGGTTTAGTTAAATGTTTCTTAGGTGAGTACCACTTTCATACTCTTTCAGTAAGCCAACTTGTTTAATTCACAACTATAGTAAGCAGAGAACAAATAAGCAGTACACATTAAATCAAACATCAAAATATATATTCTGAGAAGTGGAATATAAAAAGTTTTTAAACCAGTCAATGTAGATTCAATACTGACACAAAAACACATTAAAACCCCAAGAAAGGCTTATAAATTTTATAAATAATAGTATTATAATGTCTATAAAATACCTTAATTTAAGTGTATAAAACAAACAAACATGTTGCACAAAGTTCTTTGAAGTAAATTATGCATACAGAATAAGCATATTTTCTCAAAACATAGGTTTTAAACTGCAATAACACACGTAGTTACACAATGTGGGACTTCATAATATACTCTACTCATACTAAGAGAAAATCCATAGGCTAGCAAAATCTACTTAAAGTCTCATAATTTTTTTGTTCAATGTTTACTTAGGCAAACTACACAATAGAGCAAATTTATTATCAAAGCTAGATATTAAGTAAAAAGCGCCAAAAAATTGTAATCCTGAATGAAGATGCAAGGACATGCATCACTCATATGAATTTTTCAATTACAATGTAACTGTGAAAGTAATAGCTGGTTTTTCAATTGTTCTATTTACAAATAATCCACAATAACTATTCACAGAATAATTGAATACACACATTGAGACCTGCAGTACTATCAAAATGTGTACCCAACACTGCTGAGCAAATATTACATATCCAGTAACTGAAGTTGATCTGGCAGTGATAATATTTGATAACTGCAAAATGTCCGTTTGAAAGACTCATTCACTATTTTTCTAAATGATGTTTGTGTGCACATGTCTGTTAAAACATGTTGGAAGACTATGGAATTTCTAAGAAAATTCAAATAATGAGTTTTGGAACTTCTATATTAAACATACGTACGTGTAACATGGAAAATCATGTTACATCTTGTAAAATTATATAATACAGCAGTTGTACTCCTCAGCACTTACATAATGTTAAAACTTTCGCATTACGCTTTCTGTCAAATGTTCTTTCAAATCAACTGATATATTGCTACATATCCTGTGATGGCACAGAGATGAAACAGATGATAATGAAAACAATAATGTAACTGAGGAGGTGATAACAATAATAGCATTAACATAATAATACCAGAAAGTATAAACATTATCTTTAAAATGTATACATCTTCAACTTATACCACATTTACTTGAACATAAAATGTAAAATAAATCCTTCCTGAATACTAGAATAAAAATTGCGAAGCAGCAAATAAAAAACACACAAAAATGTTTGGAAGGAAAATACTGGACACTAATTATTAAAATACCTAAAGTTCATTTAAAGTCAAAGATATGACTGGAACACTCCACTTACATCTTCAAATCTTCATATAACCACAGAGAGAACCAAGTAAATATGGTATATAATGAAAAAATTTGTAATATTATAAAACAAGTACTATAAATTAAAAATACATGGAAGCACACATATGCTATATGCATATGCAACTAGTTCACTCCTCTGTAAAGACTTAAATGTACTATAATCACCAATACTGCTAGAACCAGCCTGTACATCATCTTTTACAGAGTTCTTGACTTACAATTTTGTAACAAATATTTGATCTGTGAAAAGAAAAAAACATTTGTTATAAGAAGTTCTAAAATATTTGAAGTACATCTATTGCACATATTACAAGTCTTGGATATGCAGCTTTATTATTTGCAGCAAAATTTATTTGCTTCGGGACTAACAGTACACTAATTCACAGACTTTTAATTTTCAAAATATGTTAATATTATTGTATATTAAAATGCCAGTCAGCATATTTCAGATGACTTCAAATGAATCAGTAATCCATTGTTCAGATATGAAGTATAATTTTTAATTTATTTGAAAGGATTTCTTTATGTAATTATTAATTATGTAATGTAAAATAGAGAAGGTGAAAAGTTTTTTCAATTTGTACCAGAATTAGTTTAAGTCATACATTTGTAGTTGTAATGTCACTAGATGTTATTACCTATTGTGGAGTTATTTCGTCCTTTAAATGTGGGCAATGTAACTGAAATTTTGTCTTGATAATTTAATTTAAATTTACATAATAATAAAATGATTAACTGAAAATCATAAGTGGTTTAAAAAAGTTGAAAAGGACTTGAAGGAACTCAGAATTATACCAACAGATGTTAGCGAGTGACAAAAAAAAATGCTTTCATGCTTTGTAATTTGTAGTATTATGATTTATATTATGTAAATTAAAAATTTAAAAAAAATATTTCATTTCTCTATTTGATCTGTCTCTAGCTATTCCGTTGACTGTAGAAATAAATAAATAGAATATACATTCGTATGAGCATAAGTGTGTATGTACGAGTGTGTGTGTGTGTACGAGTGTGTGTGTGTGTACGAGTGTGTGTGTGTGTACGAGTGTGTGTGTGTGTACGAGTGTACGGGTGTGTGTGTGTACGAGTGTGTGTGTGTACGAGTGTGTGTGTGTGTGTGTACGAGTGTGTGTGTGTACGAGTGTGTGTGTGTACGAGTGTGTGTGTGTACGAGTGTGCACGTGTGTGTGCGTGCATGTGTGTGCGCGCGTGTGTGTGTGTGTACGTCTCAGCGTGCGCGCGTGTGTGCGTCTAAGCAAACGATTCGAATATCACTGTAATTAACTCTGGTCAGCATATGAAGGAAACACGAGTTATTGTTTTCAATATAATGTTAAAATAATATTAAGATATAAAAACAATGCATACCATTGACAAATGTCAGAAACCCTTCCGTAAAATCTTTTGTGCAGCCCTAATTAATGGAGTAAGAGTATGCAGTTCCATGCAGTTCTCCAAAAACGGGTGCTGAAGTAACTCTTCTGCTGATGCTCGCTTATCAACATCTACTTGAAGGCAGCAGTTGAGGAAATGCTACAACATATAAAATATTTCACTTCAAAATGTAGTATCACATTTTTATTTCTTTAATTCCGATATAATCTACCTTTACCACAAATATTCAATAACCACCTCTGTGTTTAACTTTTTAATGAATTTAGGACTTAATTTACAATTCATAACAGCCAGGAAGGTAAATTCATTTTTGATATGTCACATGTGATCTTACATTGCATTGTGTGCAGTCTATTTCTACACTTATTTTTGGAAGAATATTTCTGCAGACAGAATTCCATCATCACCTGTCCACCAAACGTGATTGGGAATAAAGTCAATAAGTCATCCAGCTTGCCATGAGGGAAATTTGATGTTTTGACTCTTACTCAAGGGGGAAAATTCCTCTTCAATCAATATTGTGTGTGTGTGTGAGGGAAATTGTGTGAGTGTGAGTGAGAGTGAGTGAGTGTGAGTGAGTGTGTGAGTGAGTGTGTATGTGAGTGAGTGTGTATGTGAGTGAGTGAGTGAGTGTGTGTGAGTGAGTGTGTGTGAGAGTATGTGAGAGTGTGTGTGAGTGTGTGTGTGAGTGTGAGAGTGTGTGTGAGTGAGAGTGTGTGAGAGTGTGTGTGAGTGTGAGAGTGTGTGTGAGTGTGAGAGTGTGTGAGTGTGAGAGTGTGTGTGAGTGTGAAAGTGTGTGAGAGTGTGTGTGTGTGTGAGTGAGAGTGTGAGAGAGAGAGTGTGTGAGTGTGTGTGTGTGAGAGTGTGTGTGTGAGAGTGTGTGTGTGAGAGAGTGTGTGTGTAGATGCTAAAAAATCCCCCTACCTGGACAATGTACATTTTGATGTGATAGGTCTATGCTCACAACTGATTGCTAAGAGAGCAGCGGATGTAACTTGTCGGTACTGGACAGTGTGAACAAGATCTTACAGCAGTTTATCTTATACACTGACTAGAACACAGAGAGCCATGTTGTATCAAAGCCTCTTCTCCTTGTCTTCTCCAATTTTCTTTTTCTTCTTCATTTTTCTTTCTTTTCTTTTTATTATTGTCATTATTTCCTTTCTATTTCTTAATTTCCTTCTTTTTCTTCTCTGTCCCAGCTAATATTAATGTGACATCATTGCAGGGTGCAACACAGTAATGCATTAAGGTCAAGCAGGTTGGGTCAAGCAAGGTGACAACACTTCACATGGGCACCGATCACGGGAGGTTGCTTTGGTCGGGCTAAGCGGAGCCGCCACGCTTCGGTCGTAGAGTGACTATGCTGCCAGCCAGTATTACGAACTTCTCTTCGGGTATTTGGATCGTGACCACAGCATTGTGTTTAGACATCTCTTCGGCTTTTGGTAAATTTGACAAGTCCTCAGTAAATCTCCTGGTTATTTTGTGACTACACATGTCAACGGCTTTCTCAGTATGCTCCGCAATTGTAAATCAAAACTATTTTACGAAATTAGCTTGTTTTGGTCCTAACAGTGTCAAGTCGAGGAACATGCAAATCACCTTTCAGTAACGTTTCTTGGCAAAATAAAAATGTGATCTTCAAATTTGTTTGGCGACCTCATTAGTGGTTGCTGCCAACAAACTGATCGCACATCTCAAATAGAAATCATTTGTAACTTCAGTTCATTCCTTGTTTCCAGCGAGCAAGTCATTTGGGCAGGAATTTACATAAAATTAATCTATACTCATTTTCTAAAACTATTAAACATCGTTTACATAATTATTGACAAATTAATTTTATTTTGTATTTTTAATTTTCAAATTGTCATTACCGTTTTGTCTCAGCCATAACAACTTGTTATTCAATGTTTGTACTGGAACTTGTAATGTGAACAGTTTTCATATAGATATTGGGCTACTTAGCCAGACGTCTTTTTTTAATTAAAATAAAATTAAATTTGACTTCTACTAAAACTATTTATAAATAGGTAGTAGTGTGCTGAAATAATTTAAGTAGAAATTCCTATTTTAAGTTGTCTATATAGCTAAGAATATTCTTAATTTAAGAACTGAAATTGTAAAAAATTATCTTACATTTGAAAAGAATGAGAAATATGATAGTTTTTTAAAAAAATATGGCACAAGCAAGAAATGTTTATAAAATAACTCAATCTGAAAAATACGACCCGCTTGCAGCATCAGTGGCAAGGTGTGCATCTCAGGTGAATACCTGGGTTACACTTCCTGTCTCCCTTGAGCTTTGTAGTGACTATGTTGTTAACATCTCTCTATGCCTCCCCACAGGTTATCTGTTGAAGAACCGGCAGTAAGACTTTACCAGATTAACTGAACAAATGCCAACCTTGAAATTTGGGGATAACTTCTCCCAGCTTTTGATCTGTGGTCGACCATTAGCTGCAATCAGATACAGGGCTCGAAAAGGAGTTTCCTTTAAATAAGGAGGTTCACCCTCGATCATTTCAATGGCCATTATGCCAAGAGACCAAATGTCCACCTTCTTTCCATATTGTTTCCTAGTAACCACCTGGAACAGAATCAAATATTCTTTATTTTTAACACATCAATAAAATAAGTGAAGACCCTGGGTAAAGAAACAGCTTTCAAAAAACTCTCAAGATGTAACTGTAATGCATTTATATACAAACAGAAGGGGAAGAGAAGGGCGAAATAGAATAAAAGAAAGAGATGGAGAAAGATAATGTACAGTAACAGAACAATCCATGCACAGTGTCTCATACCTCAGGTGCCATCCAATAAGGAGTGCCCACCATTGTCTGACGCTTTTCATCCCCTATAATATTGGCACAGAAGCCGAAGTCAGTAACTTTCACAGTTCCATCCATACCCAATAAAACATTATCTGACTTGATATCACGGTGAATTATGCCCTGAAATGAATTTAAAAAAAAAAAATGTAGACAAAATATTAATTTTAATATAAGTACATCAATTTAACGACACATACACAGAACATACTAAGTTGATTTCTTGCCAAAAATATAAATAAACTCACTTTTGTATGCAAGAAACTAATTGCTTTTAGGACTTCCTTACATACTGCTGCTATCTGTCCCTCTTTCATCACAGTTTCTGTTACTACATCAGTCAATGGACCACCATCCAATAGTTCCATAATCACCTACCAAATAAACAAACTTTATATATCATAACAAGTAAAAAATAAACCACAAATATATACCATATTTATCCGAATACCAAATATAAATGAGACTTTTTCCAAAATATCATCTTATATTCGCAGATTAACCCTAGTTGGTTAGGATATAAGTTTTCATATTGCCATTCCATGTCACGAAACTTGTAAATGTTGACGTAACAATAAACTAAGAAAACGGTAAAAATATAGTGCTTAAAAAATACATAATTATTTTCGCGTTTGTATTCTCAGCATCTACTGCAAATTTGGGGGGAAATTTTTGAATGGGCAGATAGAATCTCTAACCTAATGGCAATGTATCAAATGAAATGTAACATGAAAATGAATGCCGAGAGTTTGTTACACAATGTGGGTTCGACGAGACAGCGAGGAATGTCGGTTCGATGCCAGGCAAATACGAATCTATGTTTTGAACAGAAACATAGGCCAAGTTCGGGATGGATAGAAAATCTGTTGTCAGAAGGGATGCAAAATTTAGTCCGCAGAACTTTCAAGAGGGGCCTAAAAAGTCAGAAAATGCTACAGCATGGAAGGAGGTACAAAAAAAAAAAAAAAAGAAATATTAATACAGGAGTAAATGATGAGCGTAGGGCCAAAAACTATGATTACGATATTAAGGAACAATAAAATAGCTCAGCAATAGCTCTAACATTCTCGTCAACAAGGCAATTTTCTAGTCAATAAGACATTTTGTAATTTTATTTTTACTAAATAGTAAGAATTAGTTTAAAAAATGTAAAATTCTAAGGAGGACTCTTCAAAATTAGGGGGTTGTCTTATATTCATAGTCAACTTATATTCGGGTAAATACGGTAATTTAAACAAAATAGTTTTAAGCAATCTTTTTAATGACATATAATCTATATTTTAGATTTACATTATTCTTTCCACCCAGATACAAACAAATTCAGGAAATTGATTTACAGGCTGATTCAATAAACAGAAGGCATCTTTGGGGAGTAATTAAGTCTGGCAAGAAATGTCAGGAAATTTATTTTGCCTTCCACTATTGTATTGGATATTCCTGAGACGTGAGAGGTGAAGGCACCCACACGATCTACGAGATCTTACAGCAGTTTATCTTACATACTGACAAGTATACAAAGAGTCCTGCTTTATCAAAGCCTCTTAAGCCTCGTCTTCTCCTCTCTCCTTTTTATTCTTCTCCTTATTTCCTTTCTTCTTCCATTTCTTAATTTTCTTCTTTTTCTTCTGCTTTCTCTTCTGTGTCCCAGGTAATATTAATGTGACATCATGATTGCAGGGTGCAACACTGTGTAATGCATTAAGGTCAAGTGGGTTGTGTGAAGCAGGATGACAGCACTTCAGTGCTCAGCAAAATTTATCACACTGATGGTACATACGAAACACCCTAACGCATAGTATCGAAGAACAAAAGCAGAGAGAAATTACCATGATTCAAATTCTGTAAATGCATCATTAAGGAATAGGGAAAGGCTTGAAAAAGGCAGTGCTGGTTGTTTGTATCTTGCCTTGCAGTCAAGCTGAGAGTGGTATAGGATGACTGACGTTTGTAATGTTCATGTGAACCACCATCTTCAATTCATAATCATGTAGTACATCCATTTGCCTCTGGACCCACTATTGCATTTATCAGTTCTTTATGGCCCTCATCCATCAAATTTCCATGTATATTAAGGAGGCTTGGTAAAAAAAAATTGACCATTTGATTGTCCATAAGATACATCATTGGTTACAAGTAGAAAAGCACGATAGCGGCTACATCAAGAGCAGCTTACAAAATTCTGTACTTCATGTTTCTTCAACAATTAACAGAAAATAGAAACTACAAAACAAACAGTATATCATACTTCAACATAATTTAATGTTCAATACAAGATTTCTTTAAGACATTTGATTCTTACCCACAAGTGGTCTTCTGCAAGGTAAGCATCTAGGAAATTAACTAAATTGTCGTGGTTAAAATCTTTCATAACTTTAACTTCATTTAAAATTAGTTCCTTTCTTGGTTGTTTAGATAAGTCAATATCTTTAACAGCCACCCTCTGGTTTGTAGTTGTATCACTGGCAATGAAAACAGTGCCAGAAGCCCTGCAGAAGAAAACAAATTTTGATTAAATAGAGAATTATGTAAAAGACAGAAGTCACAACACAAGCAACCCACATGCCATTTTTCATCTTCTCAAGGAAGGTATTGCTTTATGAATGAGTGTAGTATCTTTTTTTGATAGATGAAGGTATCATAGTTGAAGTATACACAAGAGAAGTTTAAAAATATTTAATCATCATCCATTAACAGAGCATTTAGCAACATATTATTAACCACTCACAAACATCTTTAACCTTCTGAATATAATTAATTAATTAATTAATGTCCTAGATAAACTTAGGTTTTAATTATCTCCCACAATAAATGAAATAAGAAACTTAACGCAACAGGAAGTGATTAAGTTTGCAGTTAATTATATTACATTGAATTTATTTTCTACATCCTTCTCTAAATTCTTCTTCCTGTTCAATTCTCCTTCAAAATGTATAACAGCTAAAAAAAAAAAAATCGGTTATAGATGACAATATCTTAAATTCTTACCCCGCTCCAAGTTCTTTACTCCTTTCAAATCTTCTATGAGGATCTCCAGGGTGGCATATTCTACTCAATTCATTATAGACTTCTTCATCTGTTAGTTTGTGACCCACTTCTTTCTTCCTTAGAATAGGACTTTCCCCACCATCATGTGGTTGACAAGTAATATCTGTAAAACCTTCAATCCTCAGATTTTGTAGCGCTTCGTCCAGAGCCTCCGACATTGCTTTGGCCTTCTCCTATGGAAGAGCAATACATAACTAATCAGCAGGTTCATATGGAAGAATTCTAACAGAAGAGAAAAAAATTTCTGTCCCTTAGAATTCGTGTTAATGAGGATTTACTGTATAATCTTCTGAAACATTGAATGTTTCAACTGAATGTTAATCAAAAAATTTTACATCCTCAAATTCTCCAAAGAGCAAATTGCTACTCAAATTTATCAGAAGTGTAGAAAATAAACACAAATCTTCTACAATCATGTTCAGTACCATTAAATAACTAGTTCTGAGTTAAAAATTACATAATAAACCTAGTAAATTAGAAATGTACATTAAGTTAGATTCCTTAAGTAAAATTTGTTATTTCAAAAACAATACATTTGATTTACTTACTTTAGTAGATTTGCTTTTCTTCGGAGGTACAGGAGGAGCCTTTTTGGGTGGAGTAGTAGGTTCTGATACATCATTTGCTTTAGGTTCTTGCCACTCTGTTGGAACATCTTGTATATGCCCTAAATAAAGAGACTCAATATAGATTTTCAATAAGGACAACAAAACAATTAAAGAGATTGATCGAGATAATTAAAAGGTCTGAATTTATGTTCCTAGAACCAACATTTTTAAATTCTTTCATTTACCATAAAATCAATAATATCACAGTTCAATAAATGTCCTTCTGATTATTTAATAATCATTTTCTACTGTCTCATTACAATTCTTAAGGAAATAAATAATTATAATTAATTCACCATATGAAATACTAATTAATTTTTAAAATTGTATGAAAATTATTTAAAAATGAACAACACTATTAAAACTGAATTTTTTTACAAAATCTGGGTATCTGTTTTCAAACAGATGGACAATCGTAACCTACTTGCTCAAGAAATAAAGCTTATCAAATATTCACAAAGTCTATCTTCAACAGAGTCTGTGAAAAACTACTTTAGTACCAATTCTAAAATATTGACCAACATACTTATATGTAAGGAACTTAGAAATAAAATTAAATAAAAACAACATCACTAACATATTGCTTTTTTTGACTTTGTTTGAATCATTTATTTCGTAAACCAAAATCTAAAACACACATTAGCAGTGGATTATTGTTCCCAGAGGATAGACACATTGTTTAGAGCATATTTATATGAAAAATATTCATTTATCAACTGTTTTAATAAATAAAAATATTTTGAAATCAGAAAAATTGGGAGACTTCTGAATTTTCTCGAAATGAGTAATTTGGCATTTGACATTTCTGAAATAAAGGATTCATATAGTCTTAACGGCAACAATCCAAACAAGTGGGGGCTACAGAACTGCAGACTTTCTTTAACTAGTTAGTTTCCTAATATGCTTATTGTGGCTAGCTTTTCTGTTTTCCCCAACCTCTTCTCAGCTGTTACAGCTGCTCTCTCTGCAGGTCTCAGCTGCCTAAATTACCTTCCTTCCTCCCCCCTCCCACCCTTCTATTAGAAGTTTAAAAGTCAGTGTTTTTCACTGACAATTCGAGTTACAGACGAATGGAAGGACATTTTGAAAAAAACCCACATTTTCAGTATCATGGAAACCCAAAAAAGTGTATTTCCATTAAAAAATCAAAAAAAAATTCCACGGCAATACATAACATTCTCTCCACTACATATATTACTGTTTGTAGATGTACACATAGAAGAAAGTAAAAGCTTCTACAATACTATCCAAATCCACAACATTTTTAAGCACAACCAGAGAACAGATAATTATTTCAACAAGAATAATCAAATACACACAGAAAAAGCTTAAACTAAAAGTTCCTACAACAAATTTAATTCACCTAAGTTATACTCAATTTCTTTTGATTCTTCTTCTATTACATCTTCTGTAAATAATGGCTTGAAAGGTTCATTAACCTTCTTCTTGATTGAATAATTGTAATACTTGATAGCTTGGACAGCAGCATATGGATTGTCATCTTTCTCTTTCTTTCTGAAATATAGATATATAAAAATACATTTATATTGTACCATAAAAATATAAGCTAAAACTAATAATTTCTACAGCACAGATGAGGCCAAGATATTGATACAGACTTCAAATGCAAAAGAGCAAATTTATGTGAGACAAGATCACACAATGAAGGCCATGAACACACAGGAGATAGTTTATTATTTATTTAATTACAATTACAGGAAATGGTTACAATTCTGATATTTCCTGAATTAGTGCACACATATTTTGTATGAAATATAATTCCAGAGCAGATGATTTTGCATATTTTTGCCTGTTGCTTCAGGGCATAGCCAAGTGAAATTTCTTGACATTTGGTTTGAATTGGATGCTATATAGACTAATATGTTAGTGCAGATTTGGCTGAACTTTAGTAGTTGTTGCATGTTTGTGTAATTATAGGTACATATTTTGTTAAAATAGAGACATCTCTAAAACGTTTCATCTTTTTATTGAATCTGTTGTTGTTTTTTGTGAGTGTTAAATGATTAGAAAGAGCTTATCACAACACAGGAATGCAGACAAAGTAAAGAAAACCGTCTTTTCAATGTTCAAGACCTTGCTGGCAAGAAAATCACTGGGCTTCCACTTTTGATAATGTGTGTATGGTATTGCAACATACTGCAATGCAGCACTGAAATAGTAAGAATAAAGTGAAATTGTAAGATGAAAATTAGTTGAAGCTATTGGGTTTATTTCTTTTCTATAGATGATAAAATATTTGATCAAATGAAGGGTATTTCTTGGTATATTTTTCAAATCAGGCACAAGAAATGCAATAAGATATTCAATATAATTTGCCATGCTTTAAAGGTGAATATTTACTTCAATTATTTCTCCCAAAAAGTTATGTAATTGCACAAAAACATTGTTTCATTCCAAGCAAGCTTTTCCTGAAATTTTATCAAGAAAGGTTTATACAGGAAACAAAACACTTAATTTTAATTGCATATTAAAGTGCATATTTCAGAATTTTTTAGGCCATAAATGCATATTTTTAAAAGCACTTTTTAAGATTTTTTAAAGCATAAAATCCCTCTACGTAATGATAATGGTATCACAAGTTTATAGATTAGCATAAAAGTAAATTAAATTCAATGTATTCTGTATTTAAAATTATCTCTTGACATTAAACAGCTTGTAATTCACACAAAAAACTTTACATCACAAATCTGAATTCTTGCATGTGAATTTCTTACACATGTACAAACTTAAGTCTAAATTTAGTTTGTACTGAAATTCATAATAGTCTGCGCTGTTCTTTACATGTTGGGGATACACCGGTTTTATTCTTCATATGTCATATTAGGTTTGCCAACACAACAAATGTACATATCTACAGTCCATTCTGCCAACCTGTGTAATCTAAGTAGATATTAGTAGTAATCAGTGTAGTTTGCCGTTCCAACATGAATTGGATGACTTTGTCAAATATTGTGGGAAATGAGGCAGTCAGTATACAGTGGTGTCGTGAACATCAACTCGTTCCCACTCAAAGCAGATTGTGGTGCATTATTAACTGCTACTGGAAACAGAGAAAAGGGATTTGGAGACAGGGAATGGAGGAAACGCTACTGAACGCCAATGGCACCTGTTAGGTTATCGTTTCTCATGAGGTAGTTGATGCCAAAATGATTTGGACAGCTATATCATGAACTATTTGTGACGAAAACTTTGCAAAAGGATGGGTACAGATCCATTCCTGTTTCTGATTGAATATTGTAAAATTACATTTTGAGGCTTGTGATTTTTCTAAATAAAGTGTTCTTATAATTTTTAACTGTTTTGAACACATTCTGTAATATTTTCCTTCCTTGCTTTAGACAAGGTTATGTTACATATTACAAGGTCATATTCATCCATGGTGCAGAATGGCAAGACTTGTTTGCAGGTTGGTATCAAGACAAATGATGGATGCAATGCACTGCGTCCCCCAACATGTATAGAATATATACACACTGTCCATCAATAAAGTGAACATCAGAGATTTTTGAAGGGCTGAAAGAGGAAACAACAACAGTTTCTGGAAGTTGACTCCAGGAATCCACAACACTAATAGTTAAAAGTTTCTAGTTTGTACTCATTTTAATTTTTTCATAATTCATCAAGTGACAACTCAGAATTGGATTTAGTTTTTACAGATAACATAATTTTAAAAACATCATTTTTATTTTACTTCACCATATTTATTCCTTTTAACTTACAGCATATAAGAAGGAAATATGTTCAAGTGAATTACTCAGATGCAACCTCCAAAAATAAATAATTTTAAGGCCAGATTTGAGAATTTTTTCAGAAGATATTAAGAAGAAACAAACTTACGTTATTTGTGAATCAATAAAACTTAACCAGCTCTCGGGCAGGCCTTCCAGCTGGCCAGTCTCTAGGTTTTTGCTCACATGGTAATTATGTGTAACTGAAGTAGGTAGCCCTATCTCAGATGGGGCTTGAGTCTCCGGCCGCTTTTTTGAAAAGACTTTTAGAAAACCACTCATTTTCACTTACATTTACTTTCAACCTTCCTAAAAAGAATGAAAAAATTATTTACTTTTCCAAAGAAAAAAAGAAGAGAATAACGAAAGAGGAAAAAATAACACAGAGCTACAGATATAGACAATCAAATACTGAGAGGGAATCATTCAACAACCATTAACTATGCAGATACAAAGTAATGAATACTTCACAATTTGTATATAAAAATGAATTCCTTAGAATAATTTACTACAACAAAAGATTACTCTTCTGCTATATTATTAGCACTAAAGAAGGCCTCCATGACAAATATCATGGAACATTAAAAACAAATATTCACTTACAAGACTATTCAATTCTGTGAGATTCTGACAACACAAAAGATTTGTGAATAAGGCGTATTTCACATTTCCTCACTGTATTACATTAATAATTGTTAATACATCCTTAATAAACTACAATTTACTAATTAACAAAGATTTAGAACATTTATTTGCTATATGATTAGATTAGATTTATGCAACTTATTGCAGATTCCAAAATAGGAATATGCAAATTTAATGAGACAAATCAAATTGCAGAAACATACATATAAAAAGAATTTTTCACATGAAAACATTAAAATCAAATTTAGACTGTTATGAATCTCCAAATTAATCTAGTTGAATGCATCTCTCTCTTTTTTTAAAAATTCTATAATACTTCATTTCATTTTTAACATTAATACCATGAAAAAATTAATATTTTCCCAATTTCTTTGCGATTTAATTTTTGTCAAGGCCAGGATAACAAAGATTTTGGACTCCCTTGATAAAAACAACGGAGAGTTGAGAAATGTATGTTTCGTTTATTTTATATCAACCAAAAAAATGACAATACCAATAATGAAGTTTTCACTACATCAAATAAATAATTGGATGATTTCATATTTTAGTTCTTCAAGAAATATAAAGCTAAATATTATCACTACAGTGCTAATATGATCTTTTGTCTGTGACATTGATCAAATCTCCAGAAAATCCTAAATCACAGCCAACAGAAGAAAATGTTTGAATTATAATTTTTAAAAGCAAACTAGGAAGTTATTGAAAAGCATGAAAATGAACAAAGTTTCACCACTCATGAATGTTTCTTATTGGCTTCTATCCAAACACACAAGTACTTATAACAGCAAGTTTGAAAAATCAAATTTTTAAGCATCTACAAGAGGAACAATTAACATTATACTACTTCTCTTTCATATATCATATACACTTTTTATTGTTTCCGATGTCGAATTAAATTAAACAATTCATGACAATTTAGGTTTTATTTTAATTCACGATGAAAGGAATTAAATTTTAGAGTGAAATGGTTCCTCAATACTGGAAAGTCCATTGCAACACAGTGATAAACAAAGTAATATTTAACTACAAAGCTAAAGTTCTGGCGGAAAGCAATAGAACAGGGTTTCAGAACCTCGGGAATAATTATTAAATTATACTACAAATATATTGTTAATTCTATTAAATTAATAAATAATTTCAGATGCATTCCAGGACCTACAATTATCCATACTGTTTTAACAGTACGGACATCCATAAAAAATGCCAGTTTATGTATATATATTTGAAAAGCAACTAATTAAATGAAAAACAATATTCCTGTCCCATGCAGTAATTCAATTCCGGAGATATTGTATTATTGTGATGTTAAATATATTGAAATAACATTTTTTTAAATTTAAAACCTTAAATGCAAAAGATTTGTTAATGTTCTCTGAACTTCACTCACCCTGCACTAAATACAAAAGGAAAAAGATGGACAACAATAAACAAGCTAGGAGAAAAATGGAAAATAAAGTATGAAGCAGATTTCAGGATCATGTACATTACACAAAGTTCAACATGCCAAGATATTTTCTACAGTAGAATTGTAAATTAATCACAGTACACTGTGTAGTGACTGTCACATTCCAAAGCCATTATTGGTATTTCTCAGAAACACGTCAGTTTGAAATTTTTGCAACTTACTCCTACGATTAAATACTTGAAATGCGATGTAAACTTTCTTTCACTAATAATAATAATATTTATTGAGTCACATATACAATTACAATCGTGTATGACGAGTCAACTAACCTTGTGTACACTGGCTTCCATCCACAATTGTATTTATTTTTCAAAATTTTCCCGAAGCAATATATTTACAGACAATATTCCAAATAACCAGAAACGCACTGTTCCACAGTCGTTTTAATTCGATCACAACAAATATGCAAACGGCACTTTAAAACTAGTTTCTTCATTCACAAGAACCGAACCACTCCCATCCACTTACCGCCGCACTTCCTCACTAGACACACGTCTGAAGCGTTAACTATACATAAGTCATTGAGACAACCTATAACCTCCGGTCCAACACTTTTCTCCGCATAAACTTACCTCTATCGGTTCCACGAAATTTCATTCAAATTAGAGTGGGACAATAAATTCATAACTTTCCTCCTTTTCTCATTAATTTCTTGGCTTGTTAGCCACGATTAACAGCTGAATATGAGGTAGGAATGTCCACGGAATGTCAGGGAGTGCTATAAGCTTTATCTTTTATCACCAGCAGTGTTGCCAGCTCCAAGACCATTCAAGACGGTCAATTAAAATTCATAGACCTTCAAAATTTAAATATACAAAATGTTTCCACGAACAATGGATGTTAGTAATACAACGCAACCTATGCTGTGGTGCGTCACTAGCGTTCCAAGGCTTCAACATCATTTAGCGGAAATTTCAAATTGAATAAACCGAACGGCTGGATATAAGCGTAAGAAACATGCACGTATGTAATAGACACTACAGACTAGTGTTGTCACAATAGCACGTACTTTCCCACATTCGTAACGGTTACGTAAAATTACCATTATTTCCAAAATTACTCATGACCAATTGTAGCGCATTAGGCGCAAAAACGTATTTAATTTAAATCCAATATATCAGCACACTCGACAGTTCAAAACTGCAGTTTTTAACCCGAAACACCGCCCAACAATGAGAAATTATTCTGAGAATTTCTAAGTCGTGTTGCGGCGTTGCCAATGTATTCCGACTTGATTATTTCTGAATGATTCTAGCAAAAGAAGTGCGAGAAGTTCGAGTTTGCAATTTCGAAAAATTGCAAAAATTAGGCGAAACTACTGATATTTTGATACAGTGTTAGATGTTAATGTTTTGCAAATTTGGCAGAATGAAGATTTCGTCGTAAACGCGACCTATACCATTGTTACAACTGTAGTTTACTCTATTCCAGAAAAAAATTGAGCTGTTTCCAAAAAAATAATTTTTGAAAACTGCCTTTATTTCAAGCCAAATAACACGAAAATTACTGTTATTTGAAATAATTCTAGAAGTCCTTATTTAAGGATACAACCCAGCTAAATAAATTTCATTAAGAAATAATTATCTATCTTAAAAATTGGGGTTGTGTGAAGACACTGAAAAAATTTAACATTTGCAATTTTCGATTGTTCACTAAATTAAACGAAATAAGACATGTACCATTTTTATAACCGTTGTTGTTCTGAGACAAAATTTAAACAACAAATTTTGAGTCATTTTTAAGGGTGTTTTGAAAACGTTAAGTCTTTACGTAAAGTACACAAAAAATCAAAACATCGGTTTCAAATTGAAAGGACCTCGGCCAGATCGATGGGGAAATCCAGTGCAATAAAAACTATTCGCAAAAGCAAATCAGCTAAAGATTTTTCTATTATCCCTCATTGTGCCATTCATGAAGGAATTGACTTCCTGCCGAGAGAACATGGAGAACGATAATTTGACTAACTATATTGAATTCTCGGCTATCCGGGAGACGCTGCAGGGTCACTGCCCTGAGGAAGCCTGCGACATGTCAGGCGAAACGTCGGCACCCCAGCCAACGACGCGGCGTCTCCCAGATAGCCGAGAATTCATGGATTCTAGCCGCGGAAGCTTACGTATACGACTAACTATATTATCCACAGATAGGCGGATTAACAACTTTCACGCCAGTAGGCACGCGAAAAATTGTCGCCTTTGTTTTTTAAATAACCAGAGAGGAAATTATACGTAATAATTGTTTAAAAAATGAATACACGTATACTAAAATTAAATATGATTTCATCAATAATTTATACGTTTGTTTATTTTTTTCTACAAGAAATCTATTAATTTTTAAATCATAAATTTGTATGTACAGAAATAACATAAATCCATCATTTTTTTTCTTTTTGAAGTTATTCATATTTTTATTCTACCCTGATTCCACCTTAAATTCTTAAAATGAATAGTTTATTAAGATTATAATTTTTAGAAAGTATGCGTATTTAAATCCACGAAATTTTGATAATCTGTTTGAAGATGACTTATTTAGTTCATATTACTGCAAAACTAAAATATATTTAAATTCCACTCTATATTTATATTCCATACATTATGTGATAGTCTTCCACTCTGATATTCTCGTTTTAAAAAATCGATGTAATATTTTCTTAACATAAACTAGCTAATAAAGTTTTCCGATTAAAAAACAACTGGAGGGTGATGGCACAGTGTTGGCTTCATATTCGGATTCAGCGCGTCGGCATATATTAAGAAGCATGGGTCAAGTCTTTACGCCTGACAACATCCCCCGATTTCACGTTTTTAACTATGTATTCTCTATTTATGTTATGTCGCCGTCACGAATTACTCTGAATTAACTTATATAGAGTGTACTTCAAGTAATTGTCGACTTATTTCATTAATTTCTTCCCTTCATTTTTATCAATTAGATTTTCATTGCAATTTAAATTTATTATTATAATTAAAATCTAATTATATTATTATATATTAATTTATTATTATTAATTAGTCTATTACATTATCTACATAACTACTGCGTCGGTAATAATTGATCAAATCACAACACAGATGAGTATAATGATGATACCAATGTGAGTAGAGTGTGATTGCTTACTGAAGAGTATACATGATGGCTTACTGATCATAAATAAATACCAGCATGAATATTCAAATAAAATATTCTTACTAGTCTTTTGTGAATACATTAATAGAAATTACATATATTAACATTTCAATTGGTATCCAGATGAAGACACTCCAGTGCCCGAGAAAGTAGTCTAATATTTCAGGATCTAACTTCCCAAGTAAGAATACTGAAAATTAATGAAGTAATGTAAATAGAGGCAACAGTAACAGTCACATTTACTAAGATAGTTAATCCAAACTATAGAGTGCGACTTTCATAGGCGAAGAAAATATAGAGATAGGATAACTTTCTGGATTGCATTTCTCTTGATGATTTTCCCGATTATGTATGAAATGTGAAGTTATTAGAAGGGAATAAATTGATTGATATCATAAGGAAAAACCTGCCTGATGGTTATTACATATGCAATGTACGTATAATTAATCGGGTCTAGAATGCGATCCGACGAATGTTCTGTACATAAGAATATAGATGATAAATGTGAAACGTAATATATTACACGCAAGAAAATAAGAGTTTAAGTAGATGATAGAACTGCAACTACAATGTATAACAAAGGCACATTCTGAGGGCAAACAAAATCAGTTATCCGCCGAGGTAGTAATTTATATCCTGGAGCAGGCATCTCGTAGAAGCCTGGCGTTTAATGTAAGTGTCCTGTTTAGCCTCTTGAACCCATACTCATCTAGCGTCTACTGAATTCATCTAATTATGTGAGGAATCGCTCTGCAAAATAGTCGCCAGCATTCTCAATCATCCTCTCTTTTCTGTCGATGTGTCTCACATCTCCACCTGTGTGCGTGGCTGCATGTGATATGATCACTGATAGTCACTGTCTGTATTCAGAGACTACTTGTTCGCTTAGCGTCAGACCTCACATCTTCTCGAGCGAAAATGATATGGATAGAATCTCTATTCAAATGGTGTTTCGTTTGCTGGTAAGTTTCAATCTGACGACATTAAGGCGATAATGCCAACTTGATTTCTCCGTGTCTATTGAATAAACGGCGTCACGGAAAGAGATGATCGCCCGTGCTGAGTCAACATCACTGCTGCCGACGTCAAGAGATGCATATCTTGATCATATACTGTGGTTTTACTGCAGAGCTATACTTGAGTAAGTGTACAATCCATGACAAAGAGGGATCTACCTTCATGGAACCACGCGATATGCACATTTGCCTTCCATAATTGATACACTAATACTCTGTGGTTCTCGCGCTATACAGTACGACTCTCGAGATCTTGAACAGGAACACAGCTGTATCTAAGCTTTTTCATACGTATCACGAAGCTGAACGTGTATATGTGTGATTAACACACTGCTTTGCACTGCGGGACTCTCTGTCTATAAGCCTGCGAACATCTCTCCCTACTGCTCTCAGCGAAGAACACGTTTAGTGCTCAGTCACTTAGAGTGATTTAGGTCTCTATATTTGAGAGCTGTTGTAGATTTATGCAGATCTACAATACCTCGCCATTCTCTCACGTGCTCGCGACATTGGAAGCGTTATATCCTATGCTCAGTTATACATATGATGGAGACTGGAGATGAGCCATGTCGACTGAGTTACCTCCAGTCAACGATAGTATCATAGAGCGTCGGACATTTGGTCGAATCTGATGACTCACACGACTCGAATAAACATCATCCCCATTCATGTCAGGTTACTGAGCGTTTATTGTTACCCTTTCCAAGGTCGCATAAGGAATGGCTTCCGGAGGTAGTATTGCGGTTAGATGTCCCCACGAAATTTTAAATAAACCAAGGCCAAGCCCGAGGTATGGCAGCACTGGAATAACAAATGAATTTAATGGCCCTGCACCAAGGTTCTAGCAGAGATTGATTTTTAAGACCCATGCAATCGTTTACACACTTCAGTTGTTAGTATATTCTTAGTAACGTGTGTTTGATTCGGAGTGACTGTTGGAAACCCAAGTATTTGTAAGTTTCATGCGGGTTTCCATGAAGGTAATGCTTTGGTTCATTATCACGTTTCCAAATTTATAACTTGCATATGAACCGCGAATGGTAATTCACTCTCCTGCACTTATCAAACCGAATTTCATCTTAATGTCTCAGTGAACTTCTCCGTACGTTTAATTAGTGCCGCTATGACTCTCTCAGTGGTCTGCAAGAGCTTCAGGTCTCCATGTAAAGGAGATGTGAGACAACGAAGAAGAGTTGAGTTTTCCCTCTTTTTAAGAGCGATTCCCATAACTTAGATGAATTAAGTAGGAGTAGAGAGGGGCATTCAAGGCTAAACAGAACAATAAAAGGCTTAAAGAGTCACCTGGAAAATTCCCTCGGCGATGTGTATATTATTATTATTATTATATTATTATATTATTATATATTATTATTATTATTATTATATTAATTATTCATTATTATTATTATTATTATTTTATTATTATTATTATTATTATTTAATTATTAGTATTATTATTATTATTATTCATTATTATTATTATATTATTATTATTATTTATATTATGATTATTATTATTATTTATTATTATTATGATTATTATTGATTATTATTATGTATTATTATTATTATTATATTATTATATTATTATTGATTATTATTATTATTATATTAATTAATTATTATTTATTATTATATTATTATTATTATTATATTATATTTATTATTATTAT